TATTTAAAAATTGAGGAAAAACAAAAAGAAAAAGAAACTGAAGGAGGAATAAAGGCTTTCCCAGACACACAAAAATTAGACCTGCCATGCAACAGATGTTAACCGAAGTACTTTAGAAAAAAGAAAAATACAAATCAGAAACTTGGATCTACATAAAGGGAAGAACATCAAAGAAGGAGTAAGACACAGTTAAGAACACATATGCACTTTTCTCTTATTCTTAACTGATCTCACAGATAACAGTTTGTTCAAAATGTTGCCTGTGTATGTGTGTGTATATATATGTATGAATGAATGATAGCATGATACAAGAGATGAGAGGGAGAAATCAGGAATACATTTAACCCTTGAATTGCATGGGTCCACTTACACACTGATTTTATTTGATAAATACAGTACAATACTGTAAATGTATTTACCTTATGATGGTAACAATGATCTTTTCTCTAGATTACATTTCTTGTAAAAACACAGTACATAAAACACATGCCATACAAAATATGTTAACCATGTTATCTATAAGGTTTCTGGTAAACAGTAGGCTATTAGTAGTTTTGGGGGAGTCAAAGTTATATGCAGAATTTCAACTGTGTGGGGAGTTGGTTCCCCTAACCCTGCACTATTCAAGGATCAACTGTATTTTGTTATTAGAAGGTACTCACACTACCTGAAGTGGTATAGTGTTATGTGAAAATAAATTTGGATTAGTTGTAAATATTTTACAAATTCTAAGGCAACCACAAAAAAAAATAAAGTGTAACTAATATGCTAAGAAATGAGAGAAAATATAATGATATAAAAACACTCAATTAAAACCACAAAAGGCAGAAAGACTGGGAGACAAAAATTGGAATGAAGAACAAGGGCAACAAATAAAAAAAATAGTAGTGAATATGGTAGACATTAATCCAACTATACCAATAATCACTTTGAAAATCAATTATTTCAAGTGAAAATATACTAATGAAAAGACATAGATTGTCAGAGTGAATCAAAAACCAAGATCCAACTACATGTTGTCTATAAGAAAGCCACTTTAAATATAAAGACAAATTAGATTAAAAGTAAATGGATGGAGAAAAATATACCATTCTAAAATAAAGCAAAAGAAAGTAGGAATACTGTATTCATTTCAAACAGAACAGACGTCAAAGCAAAGAAAGTTATCGCAGATAAAGAAGGGCATTACATAATGACAAAGGGGAAAATTCTCTAAGACATAACAATCTTTCATGTATATGTGCCAAACAACAGAGTGTTAGACTACACAAGGCAAAAACTGACATAACTGCAAGGAGAAATAGAAATATATAATCCATTATTATAGTTGGAGACTTCAACATCCTCTATGAGAAATGAACAGATGTTGGGATGCCTGGGTGGCTCAGTTGGTTGAGCATCTGATTCTTGATCTCAGTTCAGGTGATGATCTCATGATTCATGAGACTGAACCCCATACTGGGCTCTGCCCTGACAACACAGAGCCTGCTTGGGATTCTCTCCTCTCTCTCTGCCCCTCTCTGCTTACATGTGTGTGCATGTTCTCTTTCTCTCTCAAAATAAACTTAAAAAAAAAAAAAAAAAAAAAAAAAAAGAACACATCTATCAGCAAATCAGTGAGGACACAGTTAAGCTCAACACCATAAATCAACTGGGTATAATAGATATTTGTAGATTACTTCAGCCAAAAACAACAGAGTACACAATTTCTCAAGCTCACATGGAACATTCACAAAGACAGGCCACATTCTGGGCCATAAAACATACCTTAACAAATTTAAAAGACTAAAAATCATATAAAGTCTGCTCTTAGACCACAATGGAATTAAATTGGAAATCAAAGCAAGAAAGGTAACAGGAAAATCCCTAAATACATGGAAATTAAACAGCCTACTTCTAAATAAAGCATGAATCAAGAAAAATTTAAAAACATATTAACCTAAAACTTAAAAACATACTAACTCAAAATGAAAACACAACTTAGGAAAACCTGTGGGATGCAGGGAAAGCACAGAATAGAAGGAAATTTTTAGCATTAAATGTATATACTAAAAAAGAAGACAGATCTAAAATCAATAACCCACATTTCTAAATTAGGAAACTAGAAAAAGAATAGCAAATTAAGTCCAAATTAAACAGAAAAAGAATAAGAAAGCAGAAATCAATGAAACTGCAAACAGAAAAATCAGAAAAATGAACAAAACAAAAAGCTGTTTCTTTGAAAGACCAATAAAATCAACAAGCTTCTAGCCAGAAAGAAAAACAGAAGACACAAATTACTAAAATCATAAAGGAAAGAGGTGATATCACTGCAAATCCCACTGACATTAACAGGATAATAAAGGAATACTATGAACAACCACATACCCATAGATTTGATAACCTAGATGGAATGGACCAATTTCTTGAGAGACACAATGTGCCAAAACTCACACAAAAAGACATTCTGAATGGGCATCTATTTATTAAAGACATTGAATCAATAATAATCTTCCAAAAGAGAAAAGGGCTAGGCCCAGCTGGGTTCAGTGGTGAACTCTACAAAACATTTAAGGAAAAAATTATACCAATTCCTTATAATTTCTTTCAGAGGACAGGAGCAGAAGAAACACTTCCCAATTCATTCTATGAGGCCAACATTACCCTAATACCACAACCAGACAAAGACACTACAGGGGAAAAAAAAAAAAAAACAAAACACAGACTCATCTCTCATGAATATCAGTGCAAAAATCCTCAATAAAATATTAACAAATAGAATACAACAAAGTATGAAAAGAATTATACACCATGACCAAGTGGAATTTATCCCAGGTATGCAAGACTGGTTTATCATTCAAAAATCAATTAATACGATTACATCAACAGGCTAAAAAAGAAAAATGACTACTATTATCAATAGATGTACAAAAAGAATTTGACAAAATCCAACACCCATTCATGATAAAAACTATTAGTAAACTAGAACAGAAGGAAATTTCCTCAACTTGATAAAGCATATTGGCAGAAAACCTACAGCTAACCTCGTATTTCATGGTAAGAAACTAGAAGCTTTCCCACAAAGACCAAAAACAAGTTAAGAATATTCCGTCTCTCCACTCTTTTTCAACATCAAAATGGAATTTCTAGCTAATGCAATAAAACAAGTAAAGGAACTAAAAGGTATACAGATTGGGAAGGAAGAAATAAAACTGTTTGTAAATGCCCTCATCATCTGTGTAGAAAATCTGAAAGAATTGGGGCGCCTGGGTGGCGCAGTCGGTTAAGCGTCCGACTTCAGCCAGGTCACGATCTCGCGGTCCGTGAGCTCGAGCCCCGCGTCGGGCTCTGGGCTGATGGCTCAGAGCCTGGAGCCTGTTTCCGATTCTGTGTCTCCCTCTCTCTCTGCCCCTCCCCCGTTCATGCTCTGTCTCTCTCTGTCCCAAATATAAATAAACGTTGAAAAAAAAAATTAAAAAAAAAAAAGAAAATCTGAAAGAATCAACAAAAAAAACACCTGGAACTAATAAGCAATTATAGCAAGTTATAAGATACAAGTGATTATAGCAAGTTGTCGGATACACCTATGAGAATGGGCAAAATCCAGAACACTAACAATACCAAATGCTAACAAGGATGTGGAGCAACAGGAACTCTGATTCATTGTTGATTGTTGGCAGGAATACAAAATGGTACAGCCACTTTGTGGGACAGTTTGGTGATTTCTTTTTTTCTCTTTCCCATTTAAGTGTGTGTGTGTTAACTGAAGTATAGTTGACATACAAAGTTATATACAGTTTGGGGGCTCCTGAGTGGCTCAGGTCATAATCTTGCGGTTCGTGAGTTCAAGGCCTGCATCGGGCTCTGTGCTGACAGCTCAGAGCCTGGAGCCTGCTTGGGATTCTGTGTCTCCCTCCCTCTTTGCCCCTGCCCTTCTCGCACTGCGTCTCTCTCTCTCTCTCTCTCTCTCTCTCTCTCTCAAAAATAAATAAACATTAAAAAAAATTTTTTTCAAAGTTATATACAGCTTGGTGGTTTCTTACAAAACTGAACATATTCTTACCATAGAGAGAAACCTTTATAAGTACAAAGTTTCAGTCCTGCAGGATGAAAAGAGTTTCTGGAGATGGATGGTGGTGATGAGCTCAAACATATACATAAGTCTAAAATCCAATGTAATTTATCTTTTTAAAAAACTTTTCCAAAAAAGAAATAAGCCAAATAAAAGCAGACCAAATGCCCTATCCACAAGAGAATGGACACACTATGATATATTCATACACTAGAATACTTACAGCACTAAAAATGAATAAACTAAAACTACCTACATCTACAAAGAAGAATCTCAAAAACCCAAGTCTATATGAAAAATGCAATTCTCAAAATATGCACCATGTTGACTCCATCTATTAAAGAATTCAAAACCATACTGAAGAGCAAGAGAAAAATCAATACATGTCAGGATAGGAAGTAACAGACGTTACTGGGGAGGGGACACACAGGACTTCTATGGTATTTGGTAACATTCCGTTTATCAAGCTAGTTAGCCCATAGACAGGAATTATTCATATTTTTCTTTTATTCTTTATATACATTTCATATATATTCTTTACTATGTATGAAATAATTCATAATTGGATGAAAATACATACTATTAAAATGAAAATCATTTTTACATAAGCTAGTATAGCTTTATGTTCTTAAGTAGATAATACACATCTGAAAATGGCCGGACTTTATCTGCACTTCAAGCTATTACCCTCAAGAGAAAATACGAATGATAAAGCAAATCTATTCTTATTTTCCTAAGGATGTAAGTTTTTTCAATAGATGAATTTGCAATTAATCAAAATCTACTGAGTCTAATCCTTAAATAGGAACTTTGAAGAAATAAGACTCCTAACACTTTAGCCAAAGACTATTAATGACTCAGCTGGTGTCATCAATGCCCAAGCAAGAGATACAAACTCCACCACCCTTTTAGCACATTTTCTTTCTTCATTGCTAGATTTCTTTTATACCTTGGACAAGTCAGCTGTTCTCCCATGACTGAACAACTCTGCTTTGATCTCTTCTACTTTTTTCCTGTCAGCTTCATTTAATTCTGAAATGGAGTAGCCACACTCATGAGCCAGATTAAATTTCAGATTCCAGGCTGAAAAGAAAACATAAACACACTGGAGATAATGCAATGCAAAAATCATAATTTGTCAGTGATTATAAGAACACAGAAAACCATCAATATATCCAACTAAATGCCTGCCACAATACTTGGCAAAAAGTAGGTGTTCTCCATTATATGACAAACTATTAGAAGTTTTCAAGAACAATCATCTCACTGAAAAGTGTGACTTTTAAAAACCACATTCTATAGGTATTTCTCCAAAGATGCCACCTTTCTATGATTTTCAATTATTTTTATCTTAATCTTCCTTCCAATAAGGACAATCCCTTTGCCTCCCCTATACGTTCCTGTTACAGTTACTGCTACTACCATGAGAGCTGATATTTAACAATAATAAATAAAACTTGGGAGTTTTCTGGAGAGTCAAAATATGCGTAAGTGATAAAAGGAATGGCACAAGTAGTTAATCTCAAGGCAAAATTCCCAAGGAGGCCTGAAGTGTTTATAAGATGCTTGCTAAAATATATTCCCCAGGGGCACCTGGGTGGCTCAGTCGGTTAAGCATCCAACTTTGGCTCAGGTAATGATCTCACAGTTCATAGGTTTGAGCCCGTGTCAGGCTCTGTGCTGACAGCTCAGAGCCTAGAGCCGGCTAAGGATTCTGTGTCTCCCTCTCTCTCTGCCCTTCCTCCTCTCATGCTCTGTGTCTCTGTCTCAAAAATAAATAAGAACATTAAAAAAATGTTTAATGAATATTTTAAAAAATTTTTTTAATTCCCCATTTTGTCTTAAAGATTTCTTTTTTAATAGCATTCTATTATTAGAGATTAATGGGACTAGAACATCCTCTTTTAAACCTCTAACCTAAGTTTTAGTGTGAAGTACTTCAGTTTTTTCTAATATCTAAAATATGCTCTAAGAACTGTATTAGAAAAATGGAGAAGTATATTTACTTTTATGATACAGTGTGACTTAGAGCAGAGCAAACTTTTCTTTGTTTTTTCTGCCTTCAAAAGAGAATCCTATAATAGGAGGATTAAGGAAACGTTAAGTACTTTAGGAATCTGGAAACCCAAGCTATCTCCTTACTCTCCTTCAGGCTTCAGAACCTACCTAAGACCCTAAAATCAGACTAGTACTATTAATACTGTGACCGAGTTACATTATTGGTTAAATGGACTTATTCTGAATAGTGGTGGAAAATGTAATCATTTAACAGTTCTATAAGAAAATAAATTCAGATTCCAAACACAACTTTAAACAAATTCTTAAACTATAATGTTTATAAGTCTGACCTGACTTGATGACAATCAGTTCCTACCTCGTGCTCGTACTCGACATTCCTCTTCCTCTGCATTTCTGAGTATTTGTTTAGCATGATTCAATGAGGATTCACACTTGAGAAGGTTTTTGACATGTGCAGCCAGTGAATCTACATTGCTACCACCACAATCATCACTCTCTGACACACTTTCTTCTTCTCTGCTATCTGTCAAACTTGTCTTGGGTGAAGCACATGGAAAGAAATTTAGAAGAACATCAGAAACTGACTCCAAGGAATTACTGTCCCATGAGCAGGAACTGGCATCACTACTTGAATCACTTTTAATGATAGTCATCATAGGGATAACAATTTTATTGCCAATGGTTCCACTATACCCTTCAGGTTCAGATCTCATTACGGATTGGGCTGCTCTATACTGTCGAAGGGTTTCATCTAACGTCACTCCGGCTTTGCTTTCTGCTTCTTGTAGAGGACTTCTAAGTGTGGTTGAACTAATAAACTCCCAGTTCTCAATGCCTCTCTGGCATTTCAGATTTGTCTGTGTGCTAATATCTTTCTGTATGCACTTGTTGCTTGGGCTTTCCTCTGTAAATGGCTGTCTCCGAGGCAAATCACTATTAGATTCAGCAGCTGTGAGGGGCTCTTTGAAGCAAACCATCTTCTTAGATTGTATAATTGAAATATCACTAACATCTCGGAAAGGGACAAGAGGAGCAGGAAAATTGCATCGTTTCAGTGCTATATTTTCTGCCTCCATTAAAAGGGTCCGAATCTCTTTAAGAGTTTTGGAACTATTGCTTGTATCTTGAATTTCCACAGAGCCGACATCTTCAAAACCTGAAGATTCTGGCTTACTTATTATAACTCTACCATCAGCCTGAGAACTTAAAGGCATACTGCTTGAGATAATACTGGAGTTAGGAGAATCCAAATTATCTATTAGCATTTGAACATGGTCTGAAACAAGTTTCTGCTTCTCACTATGTGAATAAGTACCAGGAGTAACTGTTGATAAACCAGTACTCTGATCAGCTTGCCCAAGACCACGTGAGAACATCACAGAATCTTCAGGTAGATGTCTATCTGGAAAATCTTGTTGGTAGAATAAATTTGGTTTCTCTCTGTGTGAAAAGGAACGAGGAGGAGCTGTTGGTAACAGACTTTTCTGGTCAGCTGGTACAGGAATTGATGAAACGTTCAGTGCATCTTCAGCTAAATGTTTGTCTGTCAATTCCTGTGGGTAGAAAATATTAGATTTCTCTCTGTGGGAAGAGGAACTAGAAAGAGGTATTGGTATCCCAGAATTCACAACAATTGGCTCAGGGACAGGTGAAATCTTCAGAATATCCTCAATCTCAAAATTCTGAGAACAGGAATTATGAAAAACTGTCGGTAACGGAGTCTTCTGGTCATCTGGTCCACTCACAGTTGAAATTTTGGGTTTTTCTCTTTTTGAGTAGGAACTAGGGGGAGCTGTTAGAAACTCAGTCTTCTGGACATCTGGTAAAATCACAGGTGAAATCTTGAGTTTCTCTTTATGTGAGTAAGAGCTAGAAGGTCCTGTTGGTATCTCAGTCTTCTGGTCAGCAGGTCCAGGAAGAGCAAAAACTTTTAAAACTTTTTCAGTAACATCTGGAAGCTCCTGCTGGTAAAGAATACTGTCCTTCTCTCTGTATGAGTAGGAACTAGAGGGGATTATATGTATCTCAGTCTTCTGGTTAGCTGGTCCAGAAACAGGTGAAACTTTCCAAGTTTCTTCAGTAATATCTGACGACTCCTTCTGGTAAGAAAAGATGGGGCTCTCTCTATGTGAATAGGAAGTGGAGGGCCCAATTTGTATCCCAGTCTTCTGGTCAGCTGGCCCAGGAGTGCCTAAAACTCTTAAAGCACCTTCATTAGGATCTGACAACTCCTGATGGTAAGAAATGATAGGCTTCTCTCTATGTGAGTAAAAAGTAGAAGTTACTGCTGGTATTCCAGTCTTCTGGCCACCTAGTCCAGGAACCTTTAAAACTTTTAAAGCCTCTTCAGTAAGATCTGGCAATTCTTGCTGATAAGAAATGATGGGCTTCTCTTTCTCTCTATGTGAGTACGAAGTGGAGGTAACTGTTGGTTTTCTGGTCTTCTGGTCACCTGGCCCAGAAACAGCTGACAATTTCAGAGCTTCTACAGCGAGCTGACTGTCTGACAAAGGCTGTTGGTACAAAACACTTGGCTTCTCTATATGAGAGTAAGAGATAGAAGGTACTGTTGATACCCCAGTCTCTTGGTCTGCTGGTCCAGGAGAAGCTGAAATATTAACAGCCTCTTCAGTGAGATGTCTATCTGATAAGGCCTGCTGGTAGAAAATAATAGGCTTCCCTCCAAGTGAGTAGGAACTAGAAGGTTCTGATGGCAACCCAGTCTTCTGGTCAGCTGGTCCAGGAACAGCTGAAACTTTCAGAGCCTCCTGAGGCACCTGGCTGTCTGTCAAGTCCTGTGGGTAGAAGATAATGGGCTTCTCTCTATGTGAGTAGGAGCTAGAAGGTTCTGATGGCAACCCAGTCTTCTGGTCAGCTGGTCCAGGAACAGCTGAAGCTTTCAGAGCCTCCAGAGGTACCTGGCTACCTGTCAGGCCTTGTGAGTAGAAGATAATGGGCTTCTCTCTATGTGAGTAGGGACTAGAAGATTCTGATGGCAACCCAGTCTTCTGGTCAGCTGGTCCAGGAACAGCTGAAACTTTCAGAGCCTCCTGAGGTATCTGGCTATCTGTCAAACCCTGTGAGGAGAAAATAACGGGCTTCTCTCTATGTGAGTAGGAGGTAGAAAGTTCTGATGGCAACCCAGTCTTCTGGTCAGCTTGTCCAGGAACAGTTGAAACTTTCAGAGCCTCCTGAGGCACCTGGCTGTCTGTCAAGCCCTGTAGGCAGAAGATAATGGGCTTCTCTTTATGTGAGTAGCAGCTAGAAGGTTCTGATGGCAAGCCAGTCTTCTGGGCAGCTGGTCCAGGAACAGCTGAAACTTCCAAAGTCTCCTGAGGTACCTGGCTATCTGTCAATCTCTGTGGGTAGAAGATAATGGGCTTCTCTCCATGTGAGTAGGAACTAGGAGGTTCTGATGATAACCCAGCCTTCTGGTCAGCTGGTCCAGGAAGAACTGAAACTTTCAGAGCTTCTTCAAGTAGAAGGCTGCCTGCGAAGGCCTGTAGGGAAAAACTAACAGGCTCTTCTGTATGTGAGGAGGAAATAGAGGATACTGTTGGTATTCCAGTCTTCCAGTCAGCTGATTCAGATATGGCTGAAACTTTCAGAGTCTCTTCAGTGAGATGAATATCTGGTATGGCCTGTGGATAAAAAATAATGGGCTTCTCTCTCTGTGAGTAGGAAGTGGAGGGGACTACTGGTATTCCAGTCTTCTTGTCAACTGGTTCAGAAACAGCTGTAACTTTTAGAGATTCTTGAGATAGATGACTGTCTGGCAAGTCCTGTGGGTAGAAAATAAAGGGCTTTTCTATATGTGAGTAAGAAGCAGAGGTTACTGTTGATATCTCAGTCTTCTGGTCAGCAGGTCCAGGAAGAGGTGACACTTTCTGAGCCTGTTCAGTTAGGTGACTGTCTGGCAACTCCTGTGGGTAGAAAATAAAGGGCTTTTCTATATATGAGTAAGAAGCAGAGGTTACTGTTGATATCTCAGTCTTCTGGTCAGCAGGTCCAGGAACAGGTGACACTTTCTGAGCCTGTTCAGTTAGGTGACTGTCTGGCAACTCCTGTTGGTAGAAAATACTGGTCTTCTCTCTCTCTGTGTAGAAATTAGAGCCTTCTGATGATAACCCACTCTTTATTTCAGCTGGTACAGTAGCAACTGAAACTTTCAGAGCCTCTTCAGATAGATGACAGCCTGGTAAGACCTGTTGGTAGAAAATACCGGACTTCTCCCTAGGTGAATAAGAACTAGAGGGTACTGTTGGTACCCCAGTCTTTGTGTCACCTGGTCTAGGAGCAGATGAAGCTTTCAGAGTCTCTTCAGTTAGATGACTATCTGGTAATACCCGCTGGGAGAAAATATTGGGTTGCTCTCCAAGTGAGTAGAGCCTAGAGGACCCTATTGATATCCCAGTGTTCTGGTCATCTGGTCCAGGAATAGCTAGAACTTTCTGGGCCTGTTCAGTTAGAGGATTATCTGGCAACTCTTGTTGATAGAAAAGACTAGGCTTCTCTCCAAGTGAATAGGAAGTAGAGGTTAGGGTTGGTATCCCAGTCTTCTGCTCAGCAGGTCCAGGAACAGGTGACACTTTCTGAGCCTGTTCAGTTAGAGAACTATCTGGCAACTCCTGTTGGCAGAAAACATTGAGCTTCTCTCTATGTGAATAAGGAGTAGAGGTTAGGGTTGGTATCCCAGTCTTCTGCTCATTAGATCCAGGAGCAGCTGAAAATTTCAGAGCCTGTTCAGGTAGATGACTTTCTGGCAATGTCTGTTGATAGAAAATTTGGGGCCTTTCTCCATATGAGTAGTAAGTAGAGGATGCTGCAGGTATCCTAGTCTTCTGATCAACTGGTCCAGGAACAGCTGAAACTTTCTGAGCCTGTTCAATTAAATGACTATCTGGCAAGGCCTGCTGGTAAAAGACACTGGGCTTCTCTCCAAGTGAGGAGGAAATTGAAGGTAATATAGGTATCCCAGTGTTTTTACCAGCTGGTCCAGACACAACTGAAACTTTCAAGGCCTGTTCAGTTAGATGACTATCTGACGACTGTTGCTGGGAAAAATTAACATGCTTTTCTCTTTGTAAATAGGAAGTAGAAGGTACTGTTATTTTCTCAGTCCTCTGGTCAGCAGATACAGGAACAGCTGAAACTTTCAGAGCCTCTTCAGTTACATAACTGTCTGGCAAGGCCTGCGAGTAGAAAATACTGTGCTTCTCTCCAAGTGGGTAGGAACTTGGAAAGACTGTCGGTATGCCAGTCTTCTGGTCAGCAGGTCCCGGAACAGCCAAAACTTTTGCAGCCTCTTCAGTTAGATGACGATCTGGCAAGTACTGTAAGCAGAAAATACCAGGCTTCCCTCTTTGTGAGTAGGAACTAGAGGGCACTGTTGATATTCCAGTCTTCTGGTCAGCTAGTTCATGAACAGTTGAAACTTTTAGAGTCTTTTCAGTTGTATGACTATCCAATGCTTGTTGGCTGAGTATATCAGTATGTGGACCAATAGTAGTCTCTTGAGGAAACCTTAAAGCCAACTGAGGAAAGTCCTCAGGGAACAAGGAAAAATGAGATCCAATATCTGAATCTCTGATGCCTGGTTTCAAGGTGGACTGAGTAATTTCAGCTGTGCCTCCTTTAGAAGTATCTCCTAAAAAAGATTTGTTAATACTATTATTATTTTTTTTAATTAAGAAACACTTCTTTTATGCATAAAAGAAATAAAGTAAGCTTTCCTTCCTATGACCTTTGCACTTCTAGTAAGGAATCCAAATCCTAAAGAAACACTCATCAAAGAGACATATATTTATAAAGGTACTAATTACAAAGCCATTTACAACAGGAGACTAATGTGGAAATGATTTAAATATTCAACAATAGAGTACCATTTAAAAACAGCAGCGTATCGGGCTGCCTGGGTGGTTCAGTTAGTTAAGTGTCCAACTTTGGCTCAGGTAATGATCTCATCATTCGGGAGTTCAAGCCCCATGTCGGGCTCTGTGCTAACAACTCAGAGCCTGGAGACTGCTTCAGATTCTGTGTTTCCCACCCCCCCACACACCCCTCCCCCACTCACACTCTGTCTCTCTCTCTCTCTCTCTCAAAAATAAACATTAAGAAAAATAGCAGCATATCCATTTTATACGATATTATGTGGATCTTAAAATTTGGATTTTTCAAGAATTTTTAATGTGATAGGAAAATGCTATCCAGTCTAGGCCTTAATCTCACCCTAAGTTATAAGCTAGTAAGTTAGCCTGTTATTTAGTCATATATGTCAGCAAAAGACATGATACTCCTCAGTCAAAGACAAAATACTTTATTCCATGGCATAGCAAAGGATCATCAACCTATTTTCATGGGTTCCCCTTTCCCTCAAGTCCTAGGAGGGCCCAGATGGATGCTATACATGCAGTGGGTTTAAATGATTCTTCCAATAAATGTACCCTGAAAAAGATAAATATTTTTTAACTATATGAAACTATAAAGTATCTAAAAATTACACTAAGGATTTTGAACTTAATTCTAGATAACATGGGGAACTGTTGATAGATTGGATCAGAACTGTACTGCAGAAATACAGATGCAAGATGGTTGGAAAGGGAATGTAAAAGTGTAAGTGGCACTATCTAACAGAACTCTCTGCAACAACAATAATTTCTACATTTGTACAGTAATTCTAATTCTAAACTGCAGTAGAAAGTAAATGACTGCAATAGAAATAACAAGATTTGACAACAAATGTATTTATTTGTTCATTCAAAAAAATTAATGTTTACTTTGTGCCTATCACTGTTCTAGATATAGGAAATAGGGCAATAAACAAATAGACAAAGCTTACACTCTAATTCTGCTTCACAAAACTTACATTCTAACAGTAGGAAACAAACAATAAATGGTAAAACATAGGGTATGTTGGATGATGGCAAAATGGTTGATATATACAACAAGTATTATCTACACAGATCTTCTTCACCTTACAATGGGATTACATCCCAATAAGCCCATCAGAAATTGAAAACAAGTCAAAAATACATACAATAATCTAATCTACCAAACATCACAGCTTAGCCTAGCCTAAGTTAAACATGCTCAGAACATTTACATTGGCATAAAATTGGGCAAAATTACCTAACACAAAACCTATTTTATAATAGGTGTGTAATTTACTGAATACTGTACTAAAAGTGAAAAACTGAATGGTTTTATGGGTCCAAAATGGTTGTAAGCATTATCAGTTTTTTACCCTTATATCACATAGCTGACTGGGAGCTGTGGCTCACTGCTACTGCCCAACATTACAAAAGAATATCAATATCACATATGGCTAGCCTAAGAAAAGATCAAAATTCATTATTTGGAGTATGTTTTCTACTGAATGCATATCATAAAGATGAAAAATCCTACGTCAAAGCATCCTAAGTGGGGGACCATCTGCACTTTACATATAAAGAAATTAAGTTTCAAAGATGAAGATATAAGACTGCTTCTCAATATGGAGATCTTGTAAATTTGCAGAATCTGATCAATAGGTATAGGGTGGGATCTGAAGTTTTACATTTGTAACAAGCTCCCCAGTGATGTCCAATATTTTCAGTCCTCAGACATTTTGAGTGGTAGATAAATAACATCTTCAGAGTTCTACAGTGAGTAAGTAACAAAAACAGGCATTTTAACCTTTTAATTCTAACTCCAAATTCTGAATTCTTTTCACTAAGCTGACTGCTGTTCTAAACCCAATGGTAAGCTTCAAAAAAGAAGCTAAATAGAAAATTAAATGGGTTGAGAAGTAAATTATAAGGTACGGAAGTACAGTATCAAGTATTAACTCTTCAAGAAAACTAAAAGAGAAGGGAAGATGTAATATGTATAGTAACTTGAAAAGGAATATGAATTACGGGAAAGTTTTGTGAAAAAAGACTCAGAAATTAACAAAGCAAACAGATTAATGAAGTGAACAACCAATGGCTCACAGAAGAAATCAAAACGGAAACCAAAAACATTGAAACAAATGAAAATGGAAATACAAGACACCAAAACTTATGGGATGCAGTTGCAGCATTCTAAGAGGGAAGTTAAGGGACGCCTGGATGGCTCAGTTGCTTGAGCATCTAACTTCAGCTCAGGTCATGATCTCATGGCTTGTGAGTTTGAGCCCCACCTGGGGCTCTGTGCTGACAGCTTAGAGCCTGCTTCAGATTCTCAGTCCCTCTCTTGCTCTGCTCTTCCCCCGCTCATGCTCTCTATCTCTCAAGAATAAATAAAACACTTAAAAAAAAATTTAAGTTAATAGTAAATAGTTATAGTGATAAATGCCTACAGCAAGAAACAAGAAAACCTCATCAAATAAACAACTTAACTTTACATCTTAAGGAACCAGAAAAAGAACAAAGCCCAAAAATCAATGAAACTAAGATCTGGTTATTTTAAAAGATTAACAAATTGACAAACAAACTGACACCACCATCACTCCACAAACCAGAGAGGACACAAATAAATAAAATAAAAAATGAAAAATGAAATATTACAACTTATACCACAGAAATGCAAAAAATCATAAATGACTTTCTACACTTTTACACCAACAAATCTGACAACCAAGAAGAAACATATAACCTACCAAGACTGAATCATGACAAAGGAGGAAATCTGAACAGACTAATTACTAGTAAGAGATTGAATCAGTAATCCAAAGTGTCCAAACTGGGGGTATAGCTCAGGTGTAGAGCATTTGACTGCAAAAGTGTCACACCAAAAAAAAAGGCCAGAACCAGATGGCTTCACTGGTGAATTCTACTGAACATTCACACAATCAATACCAATCTTTCTCTAACTCTTCCAAAACATAAAAAGGAACCTTTCCAAACATCTTCTAGAAAGCCAGCATTACTCTGATGCCAAAACCAGATAAGGAAATTACAAAAAAGTAAAATTACAAGCCAATATCCCTAATGAACATAGATGCAAAAATCCTCAACAAAATATTAGCTGACAATATTCAATAATACATTAAAACAATCATAGGCAAGATCAAGTAGAATTTATTCCAGGAATGCAAGGATGGCTCAACATCTGCAAATCAATCAACATGCTACACCAATATTAACAAAATGAAGGATAAAAATCATGTAACCAGCTCAATAGATATAAAAAGCAACTGACAAAATTCAACACCCATTCATGATAAAAATTCTCAATAAGGAAGGTGTAGACAGAATATACCTCAACATTATAAAGGCCACATACAATAAGCCCACAGCTAACAGCATACTCAACAGTGAAAAGCTGAAAGCTTTTCCTCTAAGATCAAGACAAGATAAGGGTTCCCATTCTCACCACTTTTATTCAACATAGTATTGGAAACCCTAGCCAGAGCAATTAGGCAATAAAACGGAAGAGAAAAACAGGCATCCAAATAGGAAAGGAAGAAGTAAAACTGTCTCTATTTGTAGATGGCATGCTATTACATATGGAAACTCCTAAAGACTTCATCAATAAACTGTTAAAACTAATATATTCAGTAAAGTTGCAGGTTACAAAATTAACATACAAAATTGGTTATGTTTTTATACATTAACAAAGAACTATTAGAGAAATTAAGAACGCAATTCCATTTATAATTACATTTAAAAAATTTTACTTAGAAATAAATTTAACCAGGGAGGTGAAAGATCTATGCATTACAAACTACAAGACATTGATGAAAGAAGCGAAAAGATCTACACATCTGAGAAGCTCAATCAACTCAATGTACAATAAACATAGAGATCCACACCAATACATAATCAAAATGTTGAAAGACTGAATATCTTGAAAGTAGCAAGAGAAAACAAATCACATACAGGGGAATGCTAATAAAATTAAGAGTTGACTTCTCATCAGAAACAACAAAGGCCGGAACACTGAAGGCATATTCAGAGTACTAAAAACAAAAAGACTGTCAACCAAGGATTCTAAACCCAGGAAACTACCTTTCAAAAGGATGAAATAAAACACTGCACAAAATGTATAAAGAACTTAAACTCAACACCCAAAAAAGCAAATAATCCAGTGAAGAACTGGGCAAAAGGTATGAACACACACTTTTCCAAAGAAAACATCCAGATGGCTAATAGACACATGAAAAAATGCTCAACATCACCCATCATCAGGCAAATACAAATCAAAACACAATGAGAAACCATCTCACACCTCAAAATGGCTAAAAGTAACAACTCAGGCAACAACAGATGTTCACGAGGATGCGGAAAAGAGGAACCCTTTTGCAATGCTGGTGGTAATGTAAACTGGTGCAACCACTCTGGAAAACAGTATGGAGGTTTCTCAAAAAATTAAAATAGAACTACCATACAACCCAGAAATTTTGTATCCAAAGGATACAAAAATGCTGATTCAAAGGGGCTGAATTCAAACACTGAATTCATTGAAATGCTGATTCAAACATTGGGGCACATGCACCCCAATGTTTATAGCAGCACTATTGGCAATAGCCAAAGTACAGTAAGAGCCCAAATGTCCATCAACTGATGAATGGATAAAAAAGATGTGGTATATATACACAATGGAATATTACGCAGCGATCAAAAAGAATGAAATCCAACCATCTGCAACAACATGGACAGAACTGGAGTGTATTATGCGAAGCTAAAT